AAAAATATCTTATTTTTTATTTTTTTTAAATATAAATTATATAATAAATTAATTATTAAAGTTTTAATATAATAAAAATAGTACAGTAAATTATTTTGGGAAAAGAGGGAAGGTAGCATGACAATATAGCATTGATTTATTGACCATGCATGCTAAATTAATTATTATTTTTTTGTTTGAAATTGTAAACTTTATGAAAACTAAAAAAAAAAAAAAATTAGTGACCACAGCCACAGTAACTTGAAATTTCTAAAAATTCATTGCTTGACTGAGAATAAGTGTCCTTTTTAATTTACCTTCTTTAATTTCTAATGTTCGTTTCTCTTATAAATTATTTGTATGATCCATTTCCTAATGTCGTTTAAGTTTCTAACGCGCGATTAGCCTTTGACCAACAATTTCATATATGCATGCAGGGAGTCCCTAATGGACAACATAAATTCAGTCATTGATTTTGTGATGGCCATTGGCCCTACAGTTTGGAAATATGTCAAGTATCAAATATATCACAACCATTATGTGAGTGAATTCCAAAACATGCAAAACAACCTGAAGAACCGACAAGATGTCATTGAGAGAAACTTGAAAACACAGCAGCTCAAACAGCCCGGAAAGATTACAAATAAGGAAGTTGAAGCTTGGCTGGAGAAAGTGCGCCAAGAAACTGACGAAAAGGTGGTTGAAGATTTGATCTGTAAAGGGGGCTGTTTCACATATATTTGCTCATCAAGAAGGCTCGATAAAAAGACTCAAGCACTGAATGAAGGAATATTTAACCTAGGAGAAAAATACACTAATGCTGGTGAGACTTTGGTTGTGGATGATCACTCAAGAAAAGGAGTTCCACAGCTTGCTGAAAAATGCATTGCACGGGATGAGGTACAAGAAGAAATTTTGCAACTGTTGAGGGGGGACGAGGTTGCAAGAATTGCAGTTTGTGGAATGGGTGGCGTGGGCAAGACAACAATCATGAAGCAAGTCTACAACCATCTATTGAAAGAACCTAAATTTAATAAAGTTATTTGGGTAAAAGTATCAAAAGACTTTGATATTATTGTCCAGCAAAAAAAACAGTTTGATGTTCTTAAGTTTCAGAAGAGCATTGCAAGAAAATTGGGAATAGAACTGAAGAATGAGGATCAAGATACAACTGAGCTTGCGGAACTGATATCACAAACATTGCAACAGCGCAATTGTGTGCTAATTCTGGATGATGTGTGGGAGCCTTTTTCTCCAGAAATTGTTGGAATCCCTGGTCTACTTGGAAATAATGGTTGCAAGTTAGTGCTCACGACACGGATACAACAAAAGGTTGCTCGTGCAATGGAGTGTGAAGTGATCCTTGTGAAGCCTCTTTCAGATGATGAAGCATCAAGATTATTCTTAGATAAAGTTGGAAGTGCCCTGTTATCCAATCCCAAATTCAAAAGTGATATAGAACCATTTTTCAATCAGATTTTGAAGAAATGTAACGGTCTACCCCTTGCTATTGGGACAGTGGCAAAAACCATGAAAGGAAAATTTGATCGTTGCTCATGGGAGATGGCAGATAAAGAATTGAGCAACTCTGAAGAAATTTTCGATTGCTTGAAATTCAGTTATGATAACTTAGAAGAACCATGCAAGAACTGTTTCCTATATTGTGCATTATATCCTGAGGATCATGAAATCCCCAAAGAGGAATTAATTGAGTGTTTGATTGAGGAGGGATTTATAAAAGATAGAAGCGGATCTCGGCACTTAATGAATAGTGAGGGCCATGTTATTCTTGGGAAGTTAATAGACAACTGCATGTTGGAATTGGTTACAGAAGATGAAGAGGAACATTGTGTGAGTATGCATGATCTTCTCCGAGAAATGGCGTTGAATATCAGTCCTCGATTCATGGTGAAAGCTGGCATGGCCTTGGAAGAGCTACCAGAGGAGCATGAATGGAAAGAAGATCTTTTGAAGGTTTCTCTAATGAATAATAACATAAGAGAAATTCCTTCAAGCATGTTGTCTCCCAAGTGTCCAGTGCTCACAACCTTCTTGTTGTCCAGTAATAATATTACAACAATTCCAGAAGCTTTTTTTGATCAGATGCTTGGGCTGAAGATCCTTGACCTTTCCGGAAATTACAAGCTAGATAGGCTGCCGAGTTCTGTTTCCAAATTGGAGAATCTTACCACACTACTGTTGGAGGATTGTCGGTCCTTAAAAGAGGTACCATCTTTATCCAACTTTCGAGCCTTAAAAAAGTTAGAGCTTTCTGGGACATCAATTGAAGAACTACCCCAAGGCCTCAATATGTCAACCAATATGAAATTTCTTCATCTTGGTGAAAAATTATTTGAAATACCTGATGGATTACTACAAAATCTCTCCAACCTTCAGTATTTACTAGGAGGTTTTAGTATACCATTGAAAGGGGAGGAGATTGGAAAATTGAGGAAGTTGGAATTTCTTTCTGGCAGGTTCTCTACGGTGGATGATATGAGCCTCTTTGTCAATTCTAAACGAAAGTTGCTAAATGGGTACTTTTTTTATGTTGGAAGTCACAAAGAAGAAGAAAGATTTCATAATATTAAAATTCGCTTTTCAAGTAGTATGAAATGGATTTTCTGCTGTCATATTGATATCTTTGGGGAGGCTAATTGGTTACCATCTGATGCACAAGGCTTCTACATCTTCGACTGCAAGCATGTGAGAATCTTGAACGACATTTTTAGCTTTCAAAATGCAACCGACTTGCGGCATTGCATTGTTGTTGAATGTGATGGCCTGGAGTTTGTGGTTTCCTTGCGCTGCTTAAAGCCACTTCAAAACCTTGAGTCGCTGTACCTTTATGATTTGCCTAACTTGAATGCAATGTTTGGGGATTTGCCTAACTTGAATGCAGTGTTTGGGGATGTAGGAACAGTTGCTAAGTCAGCATCGCTGCCAACTGGCACTTTTTCTTTCCTTCAAAAAATTAAGGTCAAGAGATGTGACAAAATAAATAAGTTATTGCCACTGGGGCTGTTGCCGTATCTCCAGAATCTTCAGACTATTAAGGTTAAAGAATGTGATCAAATGGAGGAGATAATATGGTCCAATGATGAAGCAGGAGGAGAAAAAGCCCCAAAAAAACTCACTCTACCCAAGTTAGAAAGGTTGGTATTGTATGAATTGCCCGCATTGAAGAGCATCTACAGTGGTTTCAGTACTGTTTTGATCTGTGATTCCATCAAAAGGATTGAAATTAGGGGTTGCGACGAAATAGAGAGTGTTTTTGGGTCGGAGTTCAACCCATTTCCAACCCTTGAGTATCTGAAGCTTTGGAGCTTAGAGAATCTAAAATCCATGTTTGATGAAGAAGCACTTGGTTCATCGGCACCTCCCCTCACCTCTTTCTCTCTTAAAACAATTGGTGTGTATAATTGCCCTAAATTAAAGAAAGTATTCTCACCTGGATTGCTGCTACGCTACTTCCAATCTCTAGAGACTATTGAAGTTGATGACTGTAACCAAATGGAGGAGCTGTTTTCATCATCGACATATGAAGAAATAGAAACCCTAGAAAAAATCACTCTACCCAATTTACAAAGTTTGGAATTGAACAAGTTGCCCGAATTGAAGAGCATCTGTAGCAGTTCCAGTGTGTTGATTTGTGATTCCATCAAGAGTCTGGAGATTGGCAACTGTGAGAAGCTAAAGAGGATTCCTCTGCATCTTTCCTCACTTGACAATGGCCAGCCTCCTTCCCTCAAACGAATTGAAGTAGACACAAAAGAACACTGGGAATCATTGGAATGGCACCAATCCAATGCAAAGGATGTCCTTCTACCTTCTGTATATTTCTATTGGGATGACTGAAGCAGAGGAGTGCAGGCTCTTTGGTGATTGGGTGGTGCAAATGTAAGCCTTTTTAGCTTCAATTTTCCATTTCTGATTCTAATTCTGATTCAACTCAGTAAGAGTTCTCATTTTTATGCTTACGTTCATCCATTCTATCTCAACAAATCTCTCTCTCTCACTCTTGTCTTTTCTTTTCAATATCTTTTGTTTTTTCTCCCCATTGGCAGCAAAGCTGGAGTTGGACTCTGTTACCACAAGAAAGCCGGAGGAAATCACATTTGCTTGCACCTGTTGTTGTTGGATTTTCAATTTAATATACATAGGCTTGCTCTTTTATTTTATTTGTGTGTTGTGATTTTAAATATGTCAAATTCTTAGTGAAAATGTTTGTTTCTTTATCTGTGTAATTTTGTATTTCAATCCTATGTGGAAGGATTTGTCTTATTTCCGATGGTATTTCTTCCTTTGTATCACCATCTTTGCTTTTATTGTAATAAATAAGCATTTTAGCTAAAATTGTGAGATATTGCTATATAACTTTTTTTTATACCATATTAGTGATAGACATAATACTACAAAAGGGTAGTTTGATTTATACGTTTTGGATCGTATTCATGTTTTTTTTTATTGAACTAATGGCTAAACATCATCAATGATCATTCTTATCTGAAAAGAAAACTGTGATGTCCATCCTTGGATAGAGTTACGTTTCTGTGGTCAGGCTGATGTTTGTGCCAATGGTGCTGAGTTAGAAAAGCATGTTGGTGATGAGAAGCAACTGGACCGCTGCTAATTTACACAATCCAAAATGGTATTTGGTTGCTCTTTCTTTTTACTTTAGCCTTAAGCAAAAATTCCAATGGCACAGCTTTGTTTGAATGCCTAATCTCGTCATTTGATCTTCAGTCACTCTTAAGAGCAGAATTTAATTTTTATGACGTGTCAAATGATGTGGGAAAGAACAGTTCTTATGAGCTTGTTCCTTTTTAAACAAGCATATTGATATCAGTGAATAGAAAACATGTACTAGTGAACAAAATCAGGAATACTAATTTAGATTTTAGATACAGAGTTGATGATGTAATAATCATAAATAAATGGCACCATGATGCCATGGTGTTATGATGTAATTCTTAGTTCTTAGCCTTGCAAAAGCAGCTGAGGTATATATATTCCAACCAGCATGCCATTTTTCCTACCTTCAACCTTTTTTGAGAAGATTATGCGTGTAGTAGTCACTCAAGATTCATAGTTTAAACCATGTACCATCCCCTTTATAGCATGTCTTTTGAACTAAACATTTTGCTGTAACTGGTATATCTTGTAAGGGTAAATATAAACGGAGCTCAAATTTAAAACAGCAACCAGAGCTTACTCTACCTTCTAGATAAAGTTATGCTTCAATTCAACCATCTTTATTGGCATTTTGTTTGATAATTTAGTTCAGTTTTGACTGTCTACTAAACTATATAACTTTTACTGCTTTGGTGAAGTTCCTAATGTATTTAAGTGCAATAGAGAATCTCCCGTATGTGTGTGTGAATGTGGATTATTTTGACCCTCTTCCAGCTATGTGTCACAAACTTGGAGGATCCTTCCGAACATAGTGGAGAAGTTCTAAAGTTTGTAAAGATGGAGCACCTAGAAGGAGCAAGATGGACTGGTAAGCTACTATGTATGCGGTTTTGTAACTAGCCTTCCTTTGTTATCATATTTCTGATTTTAAATGAATTTCAACAACAATATTTTGTAACTAGCTTTCCTTACCTGAATTCCTATCTTTGTTGCTTTCAATTGTGAATTCTCACTGAAGTATAAGCTTCTGTGAATGATCAATCTCCAGGGAGGCAAACCAGATCTGATGACCGCAGCAGAGATGATCCTCCAAATGATTATATAGTGTCATGCTTATCTGTTTAGATTTCTTTATTTTAATATGTTTAATACATAGCTTTTGCCCACCTTCAAATGTTAAGAGGATTGAAAAGAATCCTTATGTCAGTCCATTCTTTATATATATTTCATGTTACAGGTTTTGGACAAGGAATAAGATGCCTTCATCTGGAGAAGCATTTGAAAGAAAAATGCAAGCATAAACACATGATTCTTTTGTTAAACAAGGTTGATCTCATATTCTAGGTGTATTTTTAAGGTTGGGACTCGTTGTGAACATTCGTAGTCCCCTTTTTTCAATGTGATCTTCTTTCTGCCTGGGCTACAAAGGGATGGCTTAGAATATTATCAAAGGAATACCCAACACTAGCATTCCATGCTTGCATCAATAGGTCTTTTGGCAAGGTATGTTATATTTTCTGCTCTTTAGCTGATTGGTAGTACTCACTCAGCCTCAGTATTTGTCTTTTCTGCTGTTCTTGTTTCTCTTGGTTTAAAACTTTGTAGTTGGAGAAGCTACCCTTCTTTCAGTTTGAGTCAAATATTTAACAAAAGCCTTAGTCTACTTAGCTGTTTTACCCTATGCAGTTTACTTTTGTGTATTTTCTGCTCTTTTGGCTGATGACTAGTTTTTACCTGGCATCATCATTTATCTTAATTCTTTTTTAAGGGATCTCTGTTGTCAATATCTAAAAACTGACATGGAAGCAATATCTTTTGGATTTGCTCGGTGTCTTAATGCTGGAAAGTCTTCTGTTATGAACACACTTCACACCAAAAATGTAATGTGCTTCCTCTTTATGGCTTCATTCATTGCATCACTCGTGATAATTTGTGTTTCTGTGCCCTTTTATGTTGAAGTGATAAATATACTCATACATGTTCTTCCACACCAATATCACTATTTTCCAAACTCTATCTGACATGTTTATTACCTCTTATTAAATTGAGAACTTCAATCTATAATCTGATTTCTGTTTAAGTATAGTGCATCATATGTGTTTATCCATATTGTCGCCAAAGGAAAATCCTACAATCGTATCATTTTTTAACAACAGTTTAGTTTTTAGGCACCATCTCTCTACTTTGTTAGGATCAGTGGTCTAGTACATCTCATGAAATTTTTTGCTTTCAAAGGTTTGGAAAGTTGTTCCGATTCCAGAGGAAAACTAAGGTGTGGCTGTATATAACACTCGCAGAAGGATCTTGATTGACTGACTGCCCTGGAGTTGTTTATAACACTCACAAAAAGTTGGCCTGGAGCCCTGGATCTTCTTGATTTTTCTGTGCAGAATCTGCACCAGTGGTTCGTGAAAAGACTGAGCCATCAAAACCAAACCTTTTCATTGGAAAATGTATAATATAATCCAAATCAAGCTCCAAGAAAGCAAGTAAAACCAATTGCTTGGCTTCACAAGATTCTAAAGTTCAGATGATGTGCAAGATGGAGTGGTTGAGCGTGGGCTGCCTGGTTCAAATTTGTAAGCAAGGAAGGAATCAAAATCTTCACTGACGGAAATTTTCTTTTCTGCTTTTGCCATTTTGATCTAATAGACTGTTTGACGCCAAGCCCAACAACAAAGATGAGAACACTTTTGATTCACTAAGAGTAGGATTGTTGTGTCAGTGAATTGATGTCATGTGCCAATTTCTTTTCAACTTGAATGATGTATAGCATACATTTTTTTGGTTGAATGATGGTGTTCCAAATTATTTATTATTATTCTAAAATAATTTGACTATTCATGTTTTGTATTCCAAATTTTTAATAAATAAGCACTTTATTTTTTGATCACCTTGAATTCTTTTTAAATTAAATTTTCAGTAAATTTAGTTTTTCTTTTTGTTCTATTATTTTATGCCTTATTTTCTCTAATTTATTACTGTTCATTGAAATTTATTATTTCAGTATTCACCATTTTTAAATTAGATTTGTTTAGTATGTACTTTAAGAATATAAATTAAGGGTATATTAAATATATTTTTT